CTATTTAATCACGTGGATTTGTGCCGACACTGCATTTCATGGCAATAAAGTGTGAGTGCACAAACATTTCCAGCCCAAGCCTCCCGAAACTTTACCTGTTTTCAGAGGTCGGTGCCATGTCGTGAAAATGGCCCACTTCTCACAACACCTGCTATGGTGCGGCTTTCGTTACCAAAACAACTGAGGCACGAGCAAGGTGGTTGAACGGAGAAAACGGTTTCTGTTTTGGGGCAAAACAGAGCCCGGGATGTGTGGTGGAAAATGCGAGCTTCCATAAAGACAATAAAAGTATTTTTACTTGGCTACATTTCATATGCTACGCATACTTATGCATGTCAATTATTGTGCGCATCGGTGTACATTGTGCATGCGGTGGACCCAAAAACAATTCCACTGAAGTATCCACAGAGGTCTGCCTCAATGATGTTCATAATCACTCGAGAGTATCTACTGCCATGTTTGGCTTTTTATGCATCACATAAATACCTCCAAATACTTGCTGAATCCTGTTTAAGAACTGGTGGGACACTGCTTCAAAAGAACCGCCTCCTGTTTAGGGTTCTCCTCTACCTCAACCGTCAAATTGTAACTAGGATCACCCTAGTGTGGCCTTGAAGATTTCTAACTGCGTGATACAGGCAAGGATGAGACGTTTCCTTGACCGCCAACTGGGAAAACTAATGTCAGCCAAGGGTGTCTCCAGAGATAGACTGCAGCTTCCCTGACACCCTCAACAGGAACTGTGTTAACAGTGGACCTCCACTATTGACGGGGGACGGGGACTGGGCCGGTCTGCAAATAATTGACGCGTTTCCCCTACATAGGCTTTACTCAGGTTTGTTCCAGCTAGGGGAACCTCACTCCATTTAATTTCCACGAGTCTCTGATTATTAATGGCTGATATTGCGACTTCCATCCCGGCATCGCTCATTATTTTGGGTCTATATGGCGGCATGTCAGATTTCAAGTTTAACTGGCAACAATCCGCATTCCTACAACTTCCATGAAATAGCGCTGGTGGTAGCTAATTTACATCCTGTGTTAGCATTATGTATATACGTATTAGGGGTGCGCTGATGCATCGTCTGGGATCCGCATCGATGGCGATTTCCTTATTTTTGGGGGCTCGCTGATCGGCTGATCCCGTAAAATCAAACCGATCCTCACTCATCTCCCTTCTGCAGAGGTATGAAAAACTGAGCCGCCGTCCTCTTCTGCTGTGAGATGACTGCTGAGTGAGGCTTCTAATTTGTTTTGGAGAGAGCAACTTAATTAGCAGTTAAAGCAACCCGTTTGCGTTGTTTGTCTGTTTGTGTGTACGTGTGTTCGTCCTGCCTCCCACAGTGGCGGGCAAGTTGACTGACAGTTCCGGGAACGAAGCAGCCCGACTGAATGTTGATGACTTATGAAAAGAAACACGCACGTCAATAATGATTTATGAAGTCCGTTTTTTGTATCGAACGATAAGTCGATGACACGCCTAATGTTAAGGCAGCAAATTCATCGGGCCGGTCCTGAATCCTACGTCGCAATAAAAGCCGGGATGCAATTACACAACATAACCCTGAAGGTCATATTGATGATATTCCCCATGATGAAAAAAAAAATGCTTTCCTCTAAGACTTGCCAGTTAGGTAAACTAGTTCACCTCCAATTCATGATTCACTGTAGCACTTCCATCAGACATGGCACTAATGAAAGCAACCTGTCACGTTGGTCCAACAAATGTGCTCAGAGGCGAGAACAGCAAGGTCTTTGGCAAAGTCCTTGAACAGGAGAAAGAGAGACAGAGTGACGATGACGAGACTGCTCATTAAGAAAGACGGCTGGAGTGTCAACCGTCATCAAACCAGGTCAGTCGACCGTATTTCTGCTCGCATCAGGGATTAACTTTATGTTTGAAGCTTTTCTTTGGCTTTTAGTGAATGTTTTCCGGGACAGTGTTCCCACAGTAATTTGTTGTGCAAAGGGAGCGAGTCCAGCCTGAAGGAGTAAAAATGTGTGAAAATGGTCAACCCTCTCCCAACAAAACAAAAGTCCTGATCCTCCATGTAAAGTGTTTGGGAGAAAACCTAAACATGACCAGTGTCTTCACGTCGATGAATACCATTAATTATTACTATAGACTGATTAAAGAATAATTTGAGCAAATGTGTTATTCAGAAGTATTGGAAGCCCTTCCGTACCCAAGAAGTAGTCTCCGTTGGTCGCTGACCCCCGCTGGGCAGTATAATTGATCCGTATAGGACATTCTGTGTTGAAGACGACCAAAACGAACCAAGTTGAGGTCCAACTAGCAGTGATATCTTTCTGACAAGACATCATCCATAAATCCTTCATCGGTGACATGCGTGCAACATTCCCTTCGAACAAACCTCAGCACTGACAGAAGCATCGTGGACAAGTTCAAGTGGGTTTGTTTTACCTTCTATAAATAAAATGGCTATTCTGTAGCCACTTCAACACCAGCGACACCATTGCTCAACTTTCAATCGCAACTCGCATTAGTCCCGACCCCTGCAAGACTGCCATTTTGCACCGAAGTTCTTTGTTTTGTACAACCGTCTGCTCACCCACTCGTCGCCCGTGTGGGCAGACTTTTCCTGCGCATGGTTCGCCACTCACAACTGCCGCTGCCACGTCTCTCAATGTCAGCCCTCTGAGAACTCTTACAAAAGACCAACCCGCATATATACTCGCATGAGACGCTGCACCATCCCCCCCCCCCCCCTGTTTCTCGCCGACACACACACACACACCTTACCGACTGACACTTCCAGTATGTGCTGCTTATGAAAGCCTGAAAACAAACTGCTTTGCATCATAATAAACTGGCCAAGCAACCAACTTATTCAACATTTCAGCTCGGCATAATGGGAACAACAAAAGTTAGTTTCGGTCCCTAAAGATACCATCTCTACGAATGCACCGTGTAGGACTATAGATTGCGCTATTTGTAGGTTTGTTTCTGTCTCAGTATACTGTAGACCGGCGTAGGACCCTCAATAGGTCGCTTGCACGCAGCTCAGAGCAAAGCATTCTGGGAGGTCTTTTTTTTCCGACCGCAGCCATTTTGCTTGGTTACCCACGCGATACACACACCCGCATACACTTGTTAACAGCGATCATCAACTTGTTTCATGATGGCATTTTCCAAGTATTTTGCCAGCTGATCTCCAACCGCGATATCCGCAGAAAGTTACTCTGTATGGAGGAATCATCCCATACATGGGCCAAGAAGAACCATGTTTTGCGATCAAATCGACTTGACTATTAGTCAAGTCGAATGCGATCCACCCAAGATATTGAGCGAAAAAAAATAGAAAGCGGAAGTGATGTCACGTGCATGTGACCTCTTGGTGGGCCCAGGCTGCATCCTACTTATGACCCTTTCCAAGATCCGATGAGATTGGTTATTCTCAGAGTAGTAGTATGACCATCAGCCAGACTGCCTTATGCCAAAACCCTTTACTGCGTATGTGAGGCTGGTGGTGCACGAGGTGAGCGCCTGCCATACAGCGCCCAAATTGAAAAGTACTACGCGCTTTGGTTGGGTCATCACCCGTTTCCCACGGCTTGTCTCCATGCCAACGATACACAGACAGCCTCTTACTGGGTTATTGAGTTCACTGCTCTAAGTACAATTATCAACTTTCACTGACACGCGCTATGACAGCTGTGGGAACTTAAATTACACGAAAATTGTACATTCTAAATTTGCGCTTAAAAGAAATGTGGACTGTTGAAATGGGGAATTCAAAGCACGGATGAAATAATTTGCATTACCTCCAACCAATACTAGACCAGTGTACTTGATATGCCAGGACACAACAGCTCGGCTGAAGATTTCTAATGTGAGAAGACATTTCCTCAAAGATGCAGAGGAAAGAACAACAAATACAAATGGACTGAAACTGTCACCTCAATCTGCTAGCATGATTCGGATCATATCTCTGACACGGCAACAAAAAGCAAAGCAACAAAGCAAAAGCCTTCTCAGATACAGCAATTTAAAAAAAATGCATGACTGAAGTGACTGAGACGATGTTTGATGCCACTAACTGCGTTCTAGCATATTACTGGTGACTCCAGACGGAGAGCCCAGATTTGGTTTGAGTGTTCCGCCTGACACCAGCGAGATACTAAGAAACAGTAGAAGTGGCATGGCATGGCTCAGGTGGTAAAGTGGCCTTCTCCCACTCTGAAGGGTGTGTGTTTGTTCCTCAACCATTGATTGGCATGCCAACACTATGCAAGTAAAATTAACTCCAAAACTCTCCTTGGAAAAACTTACTTAGAATGTCTAAGTGAAAAATACCTAACTTTTTTTTCAGTGTATTAAATGATCTGTACTTATACCTAAGGACAGAGTATGAGTACTTGTGCCACCTCTGCTGTAACGTACTATAACTACTGTACTTCAAATTACCTTAGCTAGTCTTACCAAAACAACATAAAAAAGATGACAAACATGATACACTATTATAAAGCAAAATTTTTAAAAAAAGTATTGTATAGCACTGACAGTAAAATTTCATTTTTACTTTAGTACTTAGGTACAGTTTATTTTAGTCTGGAATTTTTCACTTGTACTGTACAAACAAACAAACAAAGATAGATCATCCATCCATCCACACGGCAAAGTCCAATTTGCCACACGATTGTATTCCAAAATATAAGATCCTAGTTACTGAATCCATTGAACACAACCAAAAACTTGCCAACCAATTCCTGTTTGGAAGCTCACTGCTGCTCTTTTTTTTTTTTTTGCAAGCAAGCAATGTGTTGCAACTCCTGTACGGGACACACACCAGATGCAAGCGCTTCACCAAACAGCACAATATGGGGGAGTACTGTCCAGTATCGGGAGTATTGTCCTGCACGGTGCAAGGTGCACATGAGCCCAGAGCCCACCGACCCCCCAATCTCACTCCGAAAACTCACACTTTGAAAATGGTTAAGAGTAAAAGCATGCGTATGGATGGAAATGTTGTCTTTACCTTGCTTGGATGGAGCGCAAAAGAGCAAAAGCACACAGATGAGCCAAGGGGTGCGCTCCACCGCCATGTACAGCCTTTTGGTGGGGAGGGGGGTCCACCAGTCGGGTAGCGTGGGTCTCCTCGTCCGTGTCTACACGCCAGGCTAGACCGTCACAGCCACATGCCATGCATTTTCTTTTTGCCCACGGGTGGTCAGCCTGCTATTGTCTGCGCGGGTGTTTTTTTTTCGGGGTGGGGGGGGCAAAATCTCTCACCCCACGCTAAAGCCCCCCAACCCGCCACCCTACTCCCACGCTTTTCTAGTAGTCCCAAAAACAACAATAACAGCAGCGCGGGTGCAAGAGCCGTCGTGTCCCTCGGCGAGTCAACGCCATGTTACGAGCAATGTGGAAGAGTGGCGGTGGTGGTGTGTGGCTCTGCTTGCTGCTACACACACACACACACACACACACACACACACACACACACACACACACACACACACACACACAAACACGCATGGGGGGCGTGCTCGCTGCCAGACACTGACTTACTGGCTGGATGAAGGTCCACTGGAGCAAGGCGCACACAATAATAATAATAATAATAATAATAATAATACCCTTTCCAGCACTTTAAATTCACTCAACATCTTCAACAGCATTTTACCAGTTGAAAAACATCTCAAGCAGCAAGAGTTGCATGTTCCATGAAGACCGGGAGAAACTTAACCATGCTTTTATCTCCAGTAGACTTCATTATTGTAGCAGTCTTCTTACTGGACTACCTCAAAAGAGTGACAGCTGGTGCTCATTCAGAACGCTGCAGCTCGGATTCGGTCAAGAACAAAGAGATCAGAACATATTACTCCACTCCGAAAGGCTTTACACTGGCTCCCAATTAGCTGTAGAACAAATTTTAAAATTCTGCTGCTGGTCTGTAAATCACTGAATGGTTTGAGTCCTGAATACATTAAAGAAACGCTGATTGAATATAAAGCCAGTAGGACTCTGAGATCTGCAGACTTGGGTCAGTTAACGACTGAGTTGGTGCACCCCTATGTGCATTCATGGCCAAAAAAAAGATTCTTGGTGCCTTTTCCACCAGCCCTTTCAACTTCTTCACAGATTTGGCGCACCCCCTCCGACCAACAAACACGCTCAAAACAGCAAACTTCTCCCAAACATTTTAAGCCACTCACTTCGTCAACATCCCGACGGACTTCTTCACCACACATACCCGAAAAATACTGCGCATGCTTTTTCCTGTGTTTTCGAAACATTTTGGATCACAACCCTTCCATGTCCCAAGAGAGTTGGTGCACCCCTTCTTACCTAGAAACACACACATGAAGTTGCTGAATGCTCTCCTCCCTGCACAGACACTCAAAAAAGGGTAGAGTTGGCGTCCCCCCCCCCATACTCAACCTAAAAAAAATTGCATTTCCCCAACTTTTTAAGCAAACCACCCCCTTTACCGGCCAACAGATTTTGCGCACCCCCTCACACATCCTAAAACATGAACACATAAACTTTAAACCTCACTTTTTCAACATTTCAACAGTTAGTGTGCACCCTCTCTCCAAACACACCTGAAGAATCTCTTAGCCTAGCCATACACCACCTTCCAAATCCCAGCAGGGATGGTGCACCCCTCTGTCCACATACTCCCAAAAAAGGTATTTCCCAACCTTTGTCGAATATTTATGCCATGTACTTGTTTCACCATCTAGACAGAAATGGCGTACCCCGTCACTCCACCCACACAACCTGTAACCCTCACTTCTATTTGAATTTCTGCTCTCCAAGTACGCACTGACGCCGATTACATGTTTTTCCTCTCCTCCTATTAATTCTTCCAAAATCAATTTATCAGTTCAGATCATTGTTGCTAGTGAGGCACATTTAAGCAGGGCTGAATGATCAAATAAAAAACAACAGAAATGGGACACGGGCTCTTTCTTCTTCTTTTTAACAAGAAAGGGCAGAAGGAGGAAGAGGAGGGGCGGGGAGCCCGGTGGTGTGCATCCTAATCAATCAGTCGCTGAGTGCTGAGGGCTTCACTGACTCGTGCATGCAAACACATCGCAGGCAGCCAGCTGGAGCGCTGCCTGCCTGTCTTCTTCCACACAAAGACAGCCTCCTCGAGGAAACAAAGTGATGAACGGCCAACGTAAGCGTACAGTACCACTGCTGCTGTCTGATTCCAAGCAGACAAAATAGCCTCGAATGCAGCATGCATAGTCAAGGCAGTACAAAGCACATTTGTGTGGCAAATCCCCATGCTCGTCTATTAACTGTAAGCACACACAATGATTAAAGGCTTTAATGGAGGCCCTCCCTTTAGTAATATAGCACGCATCTCCTCATGCTGATGTGAGATTGATTCGGTCTGATCAAATGAAATGGGATGCATGCATTTCCCAAGTGTCTTATGAAAGCAAACGTGAATTATTATGGCATGGCTGTGTCCCGTGTGACTGTGGGTCAAGCTCTAATTTCCGCTGTGGTCTCTTTTTTTGTTTTTCTTTCAAAGGGGAGTCAATAGCTTTGTTCGCCTTGTGTCTTGAAGCGGCAATGTTGGAGTGGCGCATATCACATCACGTGATAATGTATAAAAAGCAGCACAAGTGCATTGTGCAGGCCACACACAACCGTCAACGTCCCAAAATGGTGCCGGATCCCTTCTTCTTGCACACCCCTTTCAAAAGAGTGAAAGCCACTCACACCATCTTCTACACAGAGTTGGCACACCACCTTTCTCCCCAGCTCTCACAGTCAAAACGGGTGTGCTTCAGAAATGTTTGAAGCAATATTCCCGTTCAACATCCTGAAAATGTTTGCACAGTTAACTCTTCATTTCACACATCCCCAAAAATGGTGCAATGGTTCACAGTATCCCCCCCACCCTCTCATTTGCGGTTCCATGTTTGTAGTCCTGTTTCACAATGTCTACATTTTTTTTTTTTGTCTGGTTAATAACTCTATTTTGGTCTAATTCTTGTCTATTTTGGGTATAATTCCACTGTTAGCAAATAAATGGCGGCTCACTATTTAGAATGAGATGTGTGCATTTGAAAGAACAACAAATACAGGAAGCATTCCAACACAGTCTAGTTTATGTTGAAAATTATTGAGCGACAATCTCTGTAATCCTGCTTTTTACACCTACAGTGTGTGACCAATGAAAATGTGTTGACAATGACTGGAAATTCTGACAGAATTGCGAGACCACCTTTGGACCTACACCTCTGACTGTCAATCTGTCCTTGGACTGCTGCTAACTTGAAGATCCTTTTAAAATCCAGAGGATTCTTGACACAAAGACTAACTTTCACTCGGACCACTTTGGCAAGTGTTTCTGCAAAGAAACATCAGCTGGTTTCACCTTCTGAACCGAATTTTGACTCCGCTGTCATTCAAATAGCATACAATTGGTTTCTTGCTGTGACTCGGACCTCTAATGATAAATAGAGCCAGTGTGGACTTCAGAGACTCCATGCGGCCATGACATGACACATTTGGACGAACACGCTGGCTTAATTGTGATGTCTGCGGATCTCACAGAGACCAATTAGCAGAGTAAACTTTATTCAAAACACATGAGAGGTTTTTAGTGGCTCCTCTTGGCAGTTTAAAAGCGGCGAGGTGAGTGTCTTTAATGCGAGCCAGAAATCGTGCATTGATGCTTTTTTAGAGCTGCGAAGTAATACCTGAGCTTGTTTTCCTGTGCTATTATCCCTAAATTGGAAAAGCATACTGCAACGACACTCACTCCTCACAGAATGTTCTTTAGTTAAGTAGTCATGCCTGAAGTTAACTAGCTGCTTATTATGCGCGCTAATGTATATTTCCACTTAGCATGGCAGTACAGTACAGCACAGTGCAATAGAATCAGTATGTAAACATGTATTTAAAGACATATGGTCCAGTAAAAAAATATATATTTATTAGGGAAAAGGTGTACCTACTATCAAATTAAATACTATAATAAATACAAACATACATAAAAAACATTGTGAAATAATGTGATAATTGTTGCCACAAATTCAAATCTATGAAAATATCAGACAGACATTACGTTAACATAACATGCGACAGAAAAACGACAAGAAAAACAGAAACATGATTTTATAAAATACTTTAAAAATGTGGACACAATTATAAGTAAATATTTTTATAAAATGACTTTGGAGACTTACTGTAATAAAAGCCTTGAAGCCTTACCAACTAATAAATTGCATTCTATGCAGTTGAATTAGTAAACACCCCCAACAAGAATGTAAATAGAAAGCTCTTTCTTATCAGCATGGATTTCCTTTTCCCACGTTACTAAAACGAGCGTGTTGCTGTCTTTGAAGAAGATTCTCAATTGTCCGTAGGTGTGAATGTGAATGTGAATGGCTGCTTGTCTGTATGTGCTCTGCAATTGCCCAGCAACCAATCCAGGGTGTACCCCACCTCTGGCCTACAGTCAGCTGGGATACGATCCAGCTCACACTTTGCTCTAATGAGAATAAGCAGAATAGAAAAGCAATGCATGGATGAATAGTAATAACGGACAATAATTATTCCTCACTGGTTAAAATTGACCTCAGTGAGGAAACAACTGTAAGATGTCCATATTTGAATATGGAAATGTGTTATTTCACCTTCTTTCACTGAAGCTGCGCAGTTGAACCCCCCCCCCCACACACACACACACACACACACACACACAGATAGCACGCCTGGTCCAGAGGAAAGATGTCTCCATAGCGACTGAGACAATGCTGGGACACATAGACTCATAGGCGGGGTCAATTTGGCATGTTTGGAGCATGTTTGTGTGCAGAAAAGGTGACAGCACAGCCAGCCTTTTTGAAAAAAAAGTCTCATAAGTGTCTTTCGTAAATTATACATGCTTATGGAATGGTTAGTAACTATGCAGTGAAAATGGTTCTGATGCTTATAACTATGAATAATTTAATGAGGTGCAGCCTAACAACTACATGTAGCCAACATATTACATATGTAGATAAAGAACACAGACTTTTGTAGTAGATGATGCTCACTGGAATCCACTATTGCCATCTATTTTTTTTGCTGCTGTTAAAAAAAATAAAAATGAAAAAACAGATCCAAAGCATGATTCTGCCCCTAAGCTTCACTGAAGGAATGGTGTTCCTTTGCCAAACAGCAGTGCTGTGTTTTGGATTTATGGCCAAAAAGTTCAACCTTGGTTTTATCGGACCACAACACATTTTCCCGCTGTGTTACTGCGGCTTCGATGTTTTTCTTTGTCTCACCACCTTACCCCATAGACCAGATTTAATGCCTTTGAAATTCGTTTTGTATCTTTTCCCTGGCTGGTTGAATAATCAAATCGCTCGGCTCACAATGATTATTTATTTTCTATATATTTTTTCAAGCTGCATTTACAATAGAAAAGTAGAACTTAAATAACAGACATATTGTTCAATTGATTGACAGTCATCGTATTTTCTTTGTAACGGGAACATTTACAGGCTCACATTACAATGTGCAAGTGCACTTTGAATTACCTCGTACTCAAGGGGCTCCTCATTCGCTTTGAAAGAGCGACCTCTCTTGGAAAAATGAAGTCATTACACCACCAAGCAGTAAGTCATCGTGTGAAAGCACCCTGAACCTCACTAAGACCAAAAATGAACGTACCAAAGGGTGTTTTCAGGCTGTTTCCTGGTTGGTAGACGATGATAAGACAGTTATGGACAGTACAAGCGTGTATTGTTGCATTCACACAACGAAAATTGTTTGGAAAAATTATCTAAACCTTTACAAAAGCAAACATGACAGAAACGAATACATAGATGAACGTGACAAGGTAACTTGATGGGTTTTGAATATGTAAGACGGGGGTTATCTCTAGAAAATAACTGTATTGCAAAATCTGATCTTCAAAAACAAGAAAAAAGGTCTAAAATATAAATATCTCATTTAAGAAGAAATATCTGTCAATAGAAAACGTGTCTCGGCAAGACAAGTAACATTGCTCACTTTACTGAGAGTTTAAATTTATAAAGCGCTTCAAGAAAGGCAAACGCTCTTCCACCAAAACGACCTGGTAAGAACAATATCATAGAAAAAGCTTATTGTACCTTGATTTCTGTTTTAATACGACTCTTTGTAGTTTACCTCTGAGTTCAGAACCATGGACAGAGAGGCGGTGCCATCAAGGATTAGAATTCTGTAATCCCACCCCTGGTTTGGAGAGGAAGCTTGACTGGCTATTCAGAGGCGTGGACTATTTGGGAATTAACTAGGCCGCACGGTCCCGTGTACGTACTACAATCGACTCACCCTTTTGCCTTTTAAGATACCCTATTGCGATTTTTTTTCTCAAAGTCCTGAAATCCTGCGAGACCTTCCGTTGCAGGCTTGAAGTGTTTGAGGCCACACGGCCAAACTACTCTCTGAAGGAGAAGGTAAGAAGATTATGTCTTTGTCCATAAGTAGTCTTTACATTGCCTTCTTTTTTTAGGCCTGTGTCCCTGAAGGGTAGCGTGGATGCATGTTAGTTATTATCCGGGTGTTATGCACATTTCAGCATGCAACAGAGGGGATCCCCCCCCCTCCCCCCGCCCCCACCACATCTCAATGGCAGCTTCGTCTTTAACCCCTGACTGTGAGACGTCTGCACCAAACTGTGTGGAATGAATACAAGACAAATCGCTGCACCACAACATAGCATTGCAATACTGAAGAATTGACAAAAACAAAATGCCCCCTCGAGGCTGTGAACAACATAAGAGGTGATATCCAACAAATCTGGTATAACGAATATACACAATAAGTCATGATAGCACTGGTTAAGAAACACTTTCTAAAAGTAAAAGCTCAATAAGTATTATTTTTTTCCATTCAATGATATTATTTTTCTGCCATTGACACGTGAAGAATCACATCGTATCACCTTACCGTACTGCAGTTCATCACACCATAACACGAGATACCGTTATATGTCAATATATACAGTATCACATCGTTTTACACCTAGCCTGATCATGTGGTACTGACGCAGTACTTCCCGTACCGTATCCAACGATACCGTATCATGTCTTATCGCATCATATTGCTTGAGATACATGTGGAATACATTAGAGTACTCGATTGGTGATTTGTAATGCCGTGACATCATTGTAAGTATCTTATTGGATCGCACATATTTTTTTTTTTGCATCCTACAAAATTGTATTGCACCGATCGTGGATCGTCTCACATCATTTTGCATTGTATCCGATTGAATCTTGCTCTATTCTATTCATACTTCTTTTTATATTTATACTATTTTGTATACATACTTGTGACAGGTTAAAGAGACTGGACTGGAAGTGCATCTAATATCACAATGGCTGGTGAGTACTAATCGGCCCTACCACAACAATTTCTTGTCATCACTTTCCCAAAATAATGACTGTCAAAGAGCATTATTTTAAGAGGGCAATGTTATGCATGTTCCTCCAGTTATTCCTTGTGGTTGCTCTGTCGCTGACATCTATTTTGCAGAACCCAACTTCCCGCCGCTGCCTGCTTTCATTCCGCTTAAGCCATGCTTCTACCAGGACTTTGATGAGATCCCTGAGCAACACCGCAACTTGTGCAAGAAAATGTACCACCTGTGGATGTGTGAGTCAACGTTTCAAGAGCTTCGTTGAACAGATTTAATCATTCCGATTGCTGTCTTCTCCACTCGTGATAAGAGGGAGATGCTTTACAAGGGTCCTCCTGCATTAATAGCCTGTCCACAGTGCCTTTTTTTCGCTCCAGTTTATTTGCTAACGAGGGGCTGAGCAGATGGTCTCGGTTTGAGCTGGGGAGCTTGGGTTGGTGGGGGCATTTAGGCATAGAATTATGTAACTTTTTTTGTTGTTGTTTTGCTTTCATCATTTTATGACCACGGGAACTAGCAGAGCAACATTTGATTGATTGGCAATAAAGCTTTACCCTGCGACAGTTGGACAGCCTAATGTTTAAAACTTTTCTTGGGCATTGTTTGCTTTGCAATGAGATGATGATGCAACTGTAAGTAACATTATACGGTACAACTCCAAAGATTGAACACTATCCACACGCACACACACGCACACACATAAAGCAGTACTGGCAACAGACTATATTTTGCGATGAATGTTGCAACATCGAAAAAATACAAATTGTTCAAAACTAAATTGAGGTCTCGTGAGACAATCAGAGATCTTGCGTATATATACTCACCTCTAACATAATGACAAATTTTGCAATACATTGCCGAACAAAAGCTTTAAATGGCCAAAGGAAAAGCAAAACACAAAGCCACCTGTTATCTCAATCAACTGATTTATGCCGCTAAGTTCAATATTTTGAACGACTTGAGAGGCTGATTATTCCTTCAAGTGTGAGTTGAATTCCAAATTTTGGCAGCAGTTTTATCGTGTTCCTGACCTTTTATTTCCTTTCTCTTTCTCTTTTCGTAGTAAACGGCGCCACTCTGGCAGTCAATTTGGTGGGCTGCTTCGCGTGGATGTTCGGAGGAGGGGGCGTGACCAACTTTGGCCTGTCAATCATATGGCTGCTCATGTTCACGCCCTGCTCGTACGTGTGCTGGTTCCGGCCTATTTACAAGGCTTTCAGGTAGGGATGCAATTTCGGCACAGCACTGAAAACCTACATAATAGCATCGTTATTCGAATAACAATAAGGGATAATAACAGAGTTACTGAATGTTGTGGCATACAGAAAGCCGTTTGAGCATTTATTCACTATGCTTGATATCCTTCTACAAATGCGCTCTACTAGTAAGGCAATTCAGTGTAGTGGTAGAAAAATTTTGTCTGACGAGGAATGTTTTTCCACTCTATTAGTGTCACTTTGGGCCTTAAAATTTACCAGTAATCTCGTGTGCTACACTAAAAAACACTTTGAGGCCCAATTAGGAGGCATGTGTCTCACACTACAGTAAGCCAACAAGGAGAACTACAGTGTCTCTCCCTTGTTGGTTTGCTTCACTAATAGTCACAAGTGTTCTACTACAGTGAGCAATGTCATATAGTAAAATATTATTAAAAAGGCTTTTTTGTTTTACTATTGCACTGAATTGTCTCACTGTTGAGGAAAAATAGTAAACTGGTATATCGACCTTCAACTGCATATGAAGAATACAGTACCTGTATTCAATAAATGCTTATTAGGCTTTACGTACAGCACTTGTCTGAAAGTGTATCTGCAATGGGGTGTTAGTTCCATTGCAGTCCAACAGGGGGCGTTAAAGTACACTATTGAGTTCACACATGCCTCATGCTTTCAAGTCAGATAGGAATGCCGCCAGGGTAAACTGTAGATAGAACAAACATGCAACTGTAACAATAAACCTCTCAATCATATCGCCCCCTCAGGAGCGACAGCTCGTTCAACTACATGCTGTTCTTCTTCGTGTTCATGGCTCAAGTGGGCATCAGCATCATTCAAAGCATCGGCATCCCGGGATGGGGAGTGTGGTAAGAGGCGGTAAAAATGTAGCCCCATTTCAAATTTTGCCTGAAAAATATGCGGCAATAAATAAATAAAACTACAGTGTATTAAATAATATTTTTAAAACTTTCATTTCAATGAACGAATAAATAATATTTTGTCTAATACATTTTATAGTTAAATCTGTAATAATATTAGCTAATTGCAATCAACAACAACTACTACACTACTCCTACAACCACTACTAACTATGACCACTACAAAAAAAGTACCTGTACTTGGTTTTCTGTTGCACATGATTAAAATGTATTAATGTAACACACTTATCATTTTAATTATGTGCAACGTATACCACAGGATGTAAGGGAACAAAAAGTGATAACACATGCAAATGGTAACTCAAATACAAGACCAACAAAAATAACCAAATTTCGAGATATCTAACCAATATGAACAATTGCAAGTCAAATGAACTAATTATAATTCAGATCATAAACAATAAAACTCAAGCCCAATACATCAACATTTGAGGAGCAAAAAAAAAGAGCATAGCAATCATTAAAATGCAATAATACAACACACAATCAATAAATAAATTACAGAGCACACCACCAGATTATAGGGAATACAAAGTAAAAAACTTGCTCTGATAATTAAAAAAAGAAAGAAAAAAAGACGCGTACTAATGCATAAGGAACAAATCTAAACTTCATTCATTGTGGTCAGAGGGCTTCATACATTAGTGTGCAGGACAAGTCATCTAAAAATGTGTAAAGCAGACCATATAATCTGCTTTCTCCTCTGAAACACGCTTTTGCCACAATGTCTGTCGCCGCCATTAACATGACAGTGATGGACCATTAGGAATTAGCCTCGTAGATGTTTTATGACAGCTCCATTATTAGATTTTTCGAGGCCGTTAACGAGCGCCGGACTCGGTCCGACACCCACAAATGAATCTCGTGACGACGACAGCCTTCATAAACTTTGGAAATGTCACCGCGGGCACTGTGGATGCACACCTGTATGCATGAAGTGCTGCAAAGTTTTTCATCCGCTGCTTCTTTTAAAGCCGCTAAATGATCAGCATTTAATGTCCAGATGGCCAAGTGGCTGCCGGCGGTGATAATATTGTCTTACATCAAATCGTGAGTCATTTTTATGCGTGAAACGTTTATTTATTTATTTATTGACATATTTATTTGTGTCTCCCTTTCAGCGGCTGGTTGGCCACTATCTCCTTCTTCAGTTACAATATATTGATTGCTCTGATTATGTTGGTGCCTACCATCATGTTCACCGCCGTCGCCTCGCTGTCCTTCATCGCCCTCACGAAGGTAACACACAACAGTTTTTGAAGCAAACTTTTTTTAGATTGAGATGTTGCAAATGAATGGCGCTTATGCAAGCCAACACCGGTTAATTTAACATTTTGTGTGTTCATGAGTGTAACCGATGGGCCCCCAAAAATCTTTTTTCGATGAATGACATTTTTGTCAATTTAAAAAGTCAAGCCCTTCAACAGACAACACACGAGAAAGGCTTGACTTCAATCACAAAGGTAGTGGTGTATCAAAGCAAAATCATGCAAGCTCACAAAATGCAACTCGTGTATCAGACCTCATGAGACTGACAGGCCAGTAAGTGTATTTAACAAATCACGTCAAACGATGTCACGTACAGTTCCTGTAGAAGTTACCGATTTTCCTAAAGTAAAAGCCTCTGTGATCCCACCGCACTTGCAGATCCATAACTTCTACCGCGGGAGTGGGGGCAGCATGACCAAAGCGCAAGAGGAGTGGACCACAGGTGCCTGGAAGAACCCCCACATCCAGCAGGCCGCGCAGCAGGCCGCCATCGGGGCGGCCAGCGGTGCTATGCAGGATCAGTACTCGGCCCCGCAGTACAACGACAACCAGATGTAAGAGGCAGAAGACGCAGCGGCGACGACATCCGTCAGCTGGTTTTAAGTTGAAATGAATGAATCTGCGTGTTTTCAAGCCCTTTCATGATTTGGTAAACAAATTAAACATTTTACATCTTTTATAACTTTTCAAGTAACATACAGTGAACCCATTGCACATTCACGAATTGAGTAGATTTCGGCATCAGGGCTCGGTCTCGGTCCCCTGTGAGTTGTGGGGGTTCACTGTCATCTGAATTAGCGCACTAGGAAAAAATGTACCTGTATGAATTTTTTTATGTCTTATATTGAGTATTTTACTGTTATATTGTGTTTCTGACCTACCGTGGATATACCAAAGAAAAGTTAACATTTAGCACTATGCATGGAGAGAAAATGGCTGTCAGATTTTTTGCTGTTACCTCAGGATGACTTCATGGGATTTCTATGCAGTTTGCCACATTTCTTTCTTTATTCTTTTTTTAACACTGTGAAATTAAACAATGTCATAATGGGGGAAAAAAATTGATATTTTTTATTAGGCATTAAAGAAAATTATATATACTGTATATTTATTTCATGAGTAAAAATGTCCCCACAAAGTCTGAATAGTGCAAGAAAATAATCATCTGTCATATCAATAATCCAATGTAAATATCAGGGAAAAGATTGTATGAGTTAAAAAAAATGGATGGGTCATTGCAAGGAAAAGTGAAAGTATTCGCTACAAGTACAATATTAAAGGCAAATATAATGTTTAGACAATTAGTAAATATTCAGAATTACATTTCGTCTTTTCATTGTGGCCCTTCATCGTAGCTGTGAACAGTGGGAAGAAAAATCGCATTATTGCAGGTGGTGTTTTTAACTATCCCCTATATCCTGTTAAGCACAAATGTATAGTCAGCATTTCATGTACTGTAGTTTATTACGAGACTTTTGAGTTGATTTTAAAAATGGTCATTCAACATAGTTTGTCATTTTTTATAAAGTCACGTGTGCAGACAGTGTTGCAGTGGCCTGCATCTTGCTATATGCCTGTTTGCCCACAGGGAGGTGCTCAGGGTTTCAATATATATATATATATATGTGTGTGTGTGTGTGTGTGTGTGTGTGTGTGTGTATAAACAGTTTCTTTCACCATGAATTGTTTCATTTAATGTGAGGGAATTATTTGCATCTCGTTTGTTTTCCTCTCCTATTATCATTCTGACACTGATGAAGCCACACTTCGTTTCCACATTTTCTACACATATACACAGGCACGCGAACACACACAGACAGACCACCGCCCAACCGACTGACATAGATAGACAGATAGATGGATAGATATTCATCATGATTCTAATTGCATTGGACTGTACAAGTGTACATAATCAAGTGTCCACTCACGCACGTCCTAATAGCGCTACAACCACTAGAGTCATACACCCATCAAAGGTCAAAAAAATTCAAAACAAAATATATCCTGTATCTTGCATTGATAATGTGGGGGGGTCTCCTCTGCCAGTGACGTGAAACAATTAAACAACACGGCAATGACATTTTACTGCAAGGGTATTCCCTTAGGAGCCAAGTAGTGCTTTAATTGCCACACACACACACACACACACACACGCACACACACACACACACACACACACACACACACACACACACACACACACACACACACACACACACACACACAGAAACCTCCAGAGAAAAATTGGTGACAGCTTCAGGTAAATAGGACAGCTTGTCAGTAGAAGTCACCGATTAAAACAAATCAAGGATTTGCTGGTGAATTTATTTAATGGTTGTCCATTGAATGAGCGACTTCAACAAAACACCTGCTTTCCTGGAATAACAACATTCTCTTTTTATGTGAAGGTTCTTGTAAAGTGACTGGTAAAATTGGCACATTTCAGAGAAGAGTGATGTTTACCACCCTAATGACTGAAAAAAATAATTGGAGTATGGAACTGCAGTCCCCACAGCTAACACACAGCAACGTGGTAAGCTATCGTTCGCGCGTGTGTTGATTTCAAATGCTATGTCGCCATGTTTCCTCTTGCAGTGGTGTTACAGAGATGGAATTTAGCCAGAAAAGGACTGTAAAGTCCACAGAGGACCATTCGCAGACACAAGTAACAAACAGCTTACAAGCACACAAAGAAGCGATAGTTTCCATTGATTGCTGGCCAATGAAAAAAATACAGTACTTTTTTTTTTTTTTTACTGAAATACCGTAATGTGTTTGACAAATGGATGATTGAGAACGTAAAAAAAAAGATTTTTCACTAAGGCACACCCTGAAAGGCAGACTGGCCCATTGTGTTGTATCATTTAATTGAATTATACATAAGTTTTGGATATTTCACATAACGGTCATTGGCCTAAAAAGCTATTTAAGAAAGGTAGTAAAGTTCATTGTTATTTTTCTTTCTTTTTTTTTTTTTTTTGCATTGTGTTTGTGTCACATTGAGAGGGCAGAAGTCACCTTCAGAATCTTGGTTTTCCAACTGTTTTTGCTCTAAATTGGAAGATCCCTATGTCTTTTGAAAGGCACTTATATGTGATTGCTCCACAGGGATGCTACAAAGTTGCCTTGGCACTTATTTTCCTGTACTTTTTTTGCTTTCAGTCCCCCCCCCACCAAAATAAAACAACACAGAAGTTGTTGCCTTAATGGAGAACTCATAAAGTTAATGGGAGTCAACAGTGAGGTAATTATGGTTTTTACTTTCAATGGCTGTCAAAGAGAGTTCTCTTCTTCATGATTTGTCAAAAGCAGATTTAGTGGGAGGCTGCAGGCAAGACTTAAAAATGCCAAGGTAAGTACCGGTAGTGGTGGTGATGGTTTAAGGTATTTTCCCCTTCTAAAATGGTCATGTATGACCTTAGCTGACAGAGCACAGAGGAGCTTTTTGTTCTACGTCTCGGCGGAGATGTATAGAGTGCTCTTTCATGCGGTTGAACAAATACACATGTTGCCGTCTGCACAACGTCTGCCGGGTGTGCGCCTCACACAGGCATGCATTGAAGCTCTTGCATGTGAGCGCAGCTCGGCGCGATGCAGGCCGGCATCTGGTAGGTGACGTGACTGGTATGAGGAAGACTGGTGCTGTGTCCTCGTGGACACGGGAACTTTTTCAATGGAAATTTCCCCCACTCTGCAACCATTTGTGTTCCCATCCATGGCGGCAGTCAGGCTGCATCCTGCGCTGTTTGCCTCTCGACAGATTCAAGCTGTAGAAATGTTACCTCTGTGCCCCATGCGGTATACCGACAGCCAAACACGGGTGTCAAATTTCTGCAAATCTCTCACAAGTCAGTGCCAGAGTATCTTGACTGTGGTGGGTGTGGAGATCTTTGCATCCTGCCGGGGAGTAAAGGAGGGGTCGCCCAGCTGTCTGGAAGGGGGCCATGTTAGTCATTCACTGCAAGGGAAGGGGTGCCGCTGCCAGCCTGTATCGTCACTGATCTCATAATGAGAGCCGTCCCCCTCTGACAGGGAATGACTCGAGTGAAATATGCTGCTCTCGGAGGAGGTAGGGGCCGGAGGGGACAGCAATCCCCGTGGTTGACTTCATCATCAACCCTACCCTTGGAACCTGTGGGTTGCCGATACGGTCTTTGCCCTCAAAGGATATCCTCCAATCGTCTCTGCTCAGATGGGACAATCCATATTGAATCATCCCATCATAAATATCCTTAAAGCAAGGATTCCCCAGCTGGGTGCATGCACCATTGGAGGTGTGTGAGGACCCGCTGGGGGTGCGCGTTATCACAAGCGCAATGGTCATCTGGAATAGTAATGAAATATCCACACGATGATGTTGGTGGCAACAGTTTGCCATGGCAATTTAAACTTAAACTGGGCTCCAATTTCCAGATGAGTCACCAAGACGCCACGCCCACCATGCACTGCCGCAAACAGATTCAAAATAAAAAGGTACCAAGGCACGAATGGCAAGATTTTATTTTGAAGTTGGTTTTCTTACCACGGTGGCGGGGTGTTACCGTCATGCGCAGCATTGCTCCAGCTGGTTTGATTGTCTTCCCAACCATGCGTCCACACCAGTAAACATGAGCATTTTTTTTTTCCTTTTGATCAAAGCACTTGAATTACTTGAGGACTCATTAGACCTCGAGATGACAGGAAAATGATTAAATTCCTCAAAAAGCACAATAAAAACAAAAAAAAGTTGATATCCGAGTAAATGATGTTTTGCGCTAGGAACAAATCAAACTACTAATTTAATGAAACAAAATCCTTTTTGTGACATTTGTGTTTCCTTTTGTGCCGTGAAATGCTTCCCATGTAAAATTTGTGCCTTGGCTCAGAAAGTGTTGGAGAAAAAAATGGTGTTATGACACTAAAAAAATGTGCTTTAGTTGCCAAAATATTATGGATCAGATGAATTTTATTCCAGGGACCCTTAATATAAGAAATATCGAATCATTTAATAAAAGAGAAAATATAGTACCCCAAATGCACGTTAGCTGCCTTGGAGGGGAAGTGTTTAATTCATAGAATTTATTGCAAATTGAGGACATATTCCATAAAACTGGCGAAGGAGGAAAAATGAGGGAATTAAGTTGTCTTTGTTATGAGGCCCACTGACTACCTGGCTTTAGGCGGACACAGCCAACAGCTCCTACCTTCACCATGCAAGGGTGAGTTTATTCCCGCAGAAATGGGAGAGTCACTCCATTGCATCTCGACTCTCATAATTAGTTCACAAAGCCAGGACGCGTGCAGCCATAAGATGAATTGCCTGCAGCCTTGGTGCCAAGCCGTACAGTCTCGACATGCTAAAAGTAGCCTTTGGGTCTCGAGGTGGACTTTTTGGCAAAAGTCGGCTCAAGAGACGAGGACTGAGTCTTGCCACGATTCGAGAAAAATTGTAAGTCATCGCTGACCCGCAAAATGTTTATAATTGCCGATAATGAGTTAAAGTGTAAATATGTCACAAACTCACAACAATAGTTGAATATCTTTTCACACTTGTTTTACAAAATTAGTCTCAAGTAAGTGCCTTACAGATTATTTGTCTTCGAAAAACCGTACCAGAAGTGCACACGTGCAGGTATAAATGTATTCCATAATTTCCGCTAACAATCCAGGCTAAACTAAG